GCGATCAAATCAGAAAGAGGCACCCACAGGTAAACACGGAGCCATACTCCTGCAATCCAGTTGTGTAGAGGGAGGAGGGGTGAGCAAAGGAGCCAAGGCCATGCTGGAGAAACCCAAAGAGGCAGCTGACCTGACCTAGTGAGAACATGAAGATCCTAGGAGTAAATCTTGTAAACCAGCATTGAGCTGAATCAAGCCCTTTGATTAGTGACCAAGTTTCCGAAGTAGTTTTCTGAACTTTGTCTCTGCTGCCTCTCCCTAGGAGAACTCGCCTGGAAGCATTTCTTCTCAACCTTGTAACCAACAATGGGGACACTGGTTTCGTGGTGTGAGAAGTTACTTGAGGGGCTAAGTTGAGGAGCACAGCTGATTCTTGAATGGGTTTGACACAGGGAATTTGCAGTGGATGATGTGTCAAGAGGGGCAGTACACACTGGAGTGTCAGACCTCTCCTGAGATCCTCAGCCGGGATTCACAAGTAGTTCTTAGACCTTTTTCTGATGCTGGAAAAAATGCCAGGACCTTGCTCTTATGAAAAGAGGATATGCTGTCCACGAAACCAAGGTGGATTGGGAAGGTTCCAATACAATTTATATTTAATCGTTGAGCACCATCTTGTTCTCGAGCTACAGCTGTAATGAGAATTGGAGCTTCCACTGTGCCTGGACCTTCAAATACTGCTGGATCCGTCTGGGATTCAGCTAGTGTGCTTTGATAAGAGTCAGAAGCTACAGTGAGGGATTGACTATCAAATAGGTGTTTGTGGAGATTACACCTGGCATCCTCTACATCCAGATCATCCTAGAGAGAACCTTGTAGCCTGGGGATCAGATTGGGAATGAATCCCACAATGACTGTGCTGGGAAACAGGGACTCTATATTGTCTGAAGCAAGGACAGATGTGAGACCTTTGGAACAGATTGACCCAGAAATAGCATTAGAGCATTCACTTGACTTTGGAAGTACTACTTGAATATTCTGGGGATCCTTCTTTTGTGCCTAGCATGTTGGTTCTTGAACAAGATCTATAAGGGGTTAATAAATATTTCAGAAGAAGACATGTGTTCCCGTTGAACATGCTGGACAGAAATAATGGCTCTAGCGACTACCTATATAAAAAACAAATATCTGTGGCTCTAAAACGAAGAAGGAAGTTAGGATAGTTTATGATGTGACACAAAATAACTAGGGAAGCTTCACAAAGAATATCTGGTGTTTCTAACAGTCTCTAACATCTGGAGCATTAAAGGCATGAGATTTTTTTTCCTTTGGAGTAGAGAGTACATTCCTTCTATTGCATCTTTGGAGCTTAAGGAAAAGCTATCTACATCATATTTATCTACAGGAAACAGAGTTTAGGGCACCCACACAAACAAAACTAACTGAGGAATTTGAGGGCATTTTGTGATTAGGGGCAATCTTAGCCAGTTATCTGTGTTGGGTGACCAGAATATTTTGGGAGACATGGTTCTTTTAACAGTCATGGAGTCACTTTAGTTCACTGGCTCCTTGCAGGCTCTGAGTGAAACTGGAGACTTGATTTGGCTCCTGCACCTGGTAGAAGAAGGAGTCTTTTAGTGTTTTGAAGACTCACTTTGCACGAAAAGGATTGGTGTTTTTGTAGCTCAGGACTTTCACATGATGAATTTGAACTGCAATAGGTGGCAAGTGGAACATCACATTCTGCACAGGTGGGCTTGTTGTGAGATCCACAGACAGACTTCCCAGGAATTTCTTTAGTCTTCTGATTGCCCCTAGCTCATCTATAGTCATGAACCAGATCTGGGAAAGACAAAAGAGAGGGGAGATCAGCAGAGGTTAGGGATCCCCTTTAGGTCCCACATCTGAAGTTGCTAGATGAAAACCCTGGACCACGGTCAATACCAAGCATCTATCACAGATCTCTAGACATCCTAGATCCAAGAAGCAGGAAGACAGGATGATCTCTACTTGAAATGTAGAAAATAGGGGAGGTTCTACTTGAAGCTAGAGTTTAGAAAGAAATCTGAATGCCTAGGCCACTAAGAAACACTTATCCCTCTATATTGCACTAATGTGGTGCTATAATTGGGTCATGGGCATTAAATTGAAATTTTAGATACACCATCATTGCATTTGTAAAACCTGTTGCTGGTCCAAGTAGCCACAATACTGGACAGGAACCAGAAGTTCAGGAGTCAGTAAAGTTTGAAGGTAGCTGCTTGGTATAGGTTATCTGACTATAAGAAAGGGAGACCCATGAGAGGCCATACCTTGAGATGTTACTCCTTCAAAGCAAATATTTGAGTCATTGTCATCCATTACTCCTGTTCAGGTACATGAACTCATTAAAATGTTCTTGCAGGTCATCTTTTGTTCCTGGCTGAACACTGCTTTTGCTGCCTCCTTGGATCACTACATTCTCTAGCTCCTACACTCAAGCACCCTAGCATTTGCTGGAGGTTTGATATACGTCATCATGCTCAGGTCTGTTCTGTGGCAGAACACTGCACAAAAGAATAGTAGGTGGGACGGTGTCCTGGGGTCTCAACAGCACTCTTGTGTTGCACCCTTCCCCCATGGGAGTCTGCTGTCCCAGCTTGTGACTAAGAGCTTTTAGCAAAATAACTCTTATGGCTTCCTCCCAGTGAAGCCTGCATGCAAGTACCTGTTTTCCGTAAATACTAATTCCTGTGTGTGCCCATCATTTGCCAGAGGGCCCTGGGAACATAGGCTTCTGCACTTGGTGGTTTTCCACCCTGCCTGACTGGTATATAAGGCTCTGCTCTTGTTAAAAGTAAACGCCATTCTGCTTGCAAGGAAAAGCCACTATCTTTGTCCTCATTTACATCCTTTGCCCTTTGCCAGGATCTTTCTGAAGTGTTGTAGCCTGGTAATGGGGAACAACAGCTCGCTACACACCTGCTCTGCCCACCACAATCTCTGCCCACGTTTGAGTATCAGTGTTAGCACCTGAACGTAAACAAGCAAACAGCTCCTCAGTTTTCACTGGACTTTAAGTCCAGCAAGCTGGGATATGGTGAAGTTCAAACTCCAAACACGCATAAATCTCCAGAGTTACCAAGGCTAATTATCTTTTAGCTCCCTCTTCCACACAACAAGACAGCCTCAACAGCATACCTATAATACACACACTTCCTTGTGGACTCAGCTTCCTGCTAATCAGTAGGTGGATTCACCTTGTTCAGACCCATCTCTGTTTTACATTTCCAGAGACAAGTGCTTAAATGTCTTCCTTAGACCAAAATTCCACCCCCCCATTTTTGGCTCTTCACAGACTGCCCTTAATTTCAAAGAGATTACCATTCCTTAACTTCCTGAGTGCTAGCATCAAAGGTGTAGGTAATCTGGACCCCACCAGGTTTAATCACTATGTGCAAACTAACATGGACTGGCAGGATTATGTAGAAAATGGAAACTGAGAGTATTGGCCTGGTTCACAGATGTCTAACTGTAGAAGAAATTGGAACTTGATATGTTGCCCCAATTTGTAGTCTTACAATTAAATGCCAATTCGATGAAGGTTTATAGAAGTTAAGACCATTTACTTCTGCATTCCATGTTGGGGCAGCAGGCCTGTCTTCTCCTGGGTAGAGAAAGAAATATCATGGGGGAAAGTCAGCCTACATTAACTACATAGTGGCTCCAAATCGTTCCCGGGTTACAGGAGACTCTGTCTCAAAAGGGAAAAGAACCATCCAGGAGCAACATACAAAATCTCTCCTGAGTCTCTAGGTGTTCAAAGGAAAAGAATAGTCATATAGTCTTATTATCAGAGGGCACGTAAGAGACAGACCAGGCACACAGAGATGTTCAACAGCGACGTAGAAACCTGTTCTAAGAGAACTGTAAAATCAAGGACAGTCTGGTAACAAAATAACTTTGAGGTCAAGCAGGCATGCATGATCATAAATCTTCTGAGATGTTTGGCTGAATAATCTTTTATTTAGCAATTACAAACATTTACAACAAATTGAAGTTACATGTGATACAGTCTTTAATACAGTAGGTTTTTTTTTGGTTTTTGGTTTTGTTTTGGTTTTTTTTTTTGGTGTTTCGAGGAAGGGTTTCTCTGTATTATTTTTTGTAGCCTGTACTGGAACTCGCTTGGTAGACCAGGCTGGTCACGAACTCCCAGGGATTCACCTGTCTTTGCCTCCTGGGTGCTGGGATTAAAGGTCTGCACCACCAACACCGGGCTAACACAGTAGTTTAAACAGACTTGGAATCTATATTACTACCAAAAGTTAAAAAAAAAACACTTAACATTCTACTTTGCGTTTTTCTATAGTACAAAATGAGATCAACTTTCAAATATTTTCCTAAGTGACAATACTAGATTCTATCCAAGTTTAAGGCAAATACATTGGGAGTGCGTTGGCAGTTTCTAAGAACAGGAAGAATCTTAGGCCTCACAGGTTAGGGTGGCAGCCTCCGGTATACCTGCTGGTACATATATTGCCCCTCATGTCCTGCTGGCACACTGGTTCTGGGAGGGCCACTAAGACAAAACTCGTTGATGGGGGCAGGCAGAACCAGCCTTCCCTGCAGCCACAGACAGACTGTATTTCCAAGGACGTGATCCTGACTTTACCTCCCTGAGGGCCAAGTTCTGGGCAGCTCCTGTTCTTTCAGCGGGCACAGAAACTGCCAGGCTCACCAGGTCTCTTGTTCTAGTTCCTGATAGGGTTCCTGGGTTGACCCAGAACTGGGAGATCAGTCCAAAGGGTCATGAGGCTTGGAGGGGTAGTGCTTGGAGCAACTACCCAACTTTTGGGCCTCCAAAAACAAAATACATTAATAGCTCCTTGGGAGGATCTTGTCCTGCAGCATGTGAGTCATCTTTCAACACACTGTCATTCAGACTAGTACACAGGTCAGGTGACCCATAGCAAAGCTCAGTCATCATCATTATCACCATCTCCACCATAGTCATCACCATCATCATATCACCATCATCCCCATCAACACAGAAACCATCATCACCATCATCATTACCTTCAAAAGAGAAACATATCATCAAGTCCATCATAATAATCACCACGATCAGCATCACTGTCATCACCATCACCACTATCCATTTGCTCATGCATGTTTCCAAAGTCATAGTTGACACCCAAGTTGGGCAGGCCTCTCAGGGCTCCCACTTTCTTGGCTGTCTTCTCCAGTGGAGGGCCGATGCATTTGAATGTGTTTTCTCCCTTCTTCCTTCTCTGCTCCTCTTCATCCTCCTTTTCAATTTCCTTAATCAGCTTTTCGTCGTCTTTAGTAGTGGCTGTCCAGAGGGAGCACATGGTACATTTCTGGCAGGAGGCTCCTGGAGAGAGGGGATGCTGGCAGAAATGGTCATGGTCATCCATAGAAACTCGACAGCAGCAAGACATGTGATTGCAGCCTTCGGATTTGATGAGGCTGGTGCCACACTGGGGGCATTTTCTAATGCGAGCAGTAGCCAATTTGTCTTCAATAGGTGTCCGGTACTTGATGTCATCCTTTTCAGGCAGCTCTTCACAGGTGAGGCCAGAATGTTCTTTCCAGAGTCCCTGACACTTCCTACAGGTCTCCTTCAGGCAGCGAGGATTAGGGCAGCTGAATCTCTTCACATCCTTGTCCAACAGAGCAGGGAAGCCACAAGAGGGGCACCTGACGAGCTCATCAGCACAGGCTCCAGTGACTTCTTCTTCAGCTCTCCATTCATAGTAGTTGGACAGGATGTTCGGGAGGAGCACCTTCTCCAGTTCACTGGTTGGGAAGAAAGATGTGCAGGTGCGTTCCATGAAGCTGAGTTCTGACTTTCCAGACACCAACTCTGCCCCTTGGGCAAATCTGATGAGACATTCTTTGCACAACAAGTAACCATCGGACCACTGTGTCATCTCCACAAATTCAAGCTCCCCATAGCAGCATACACACTCAGTCAGCTGTCCATAATTTTCATACTGGTCTGTATTCGTCTGCAGGGCAAGCAAACAGTCTTCACGCTCTGCCTTCTCTTTCATTTTCTGCTCATAGAATTCCTGCTCTTGCTGCACAGCTGGAAGGAGGTCTTTCTGGTCATAGAATCTACAGTGTCGACGCTTGTTTTCCAAAATGAACATCCTCCTTTCTATTTTTATGTTGCCCTGTTCAAATTTGAAATCTATGAAAGACTGATTCATTCCTTTCTTCTTTTTCTGTTTTCCACTGGGTTCAGATGATTCCTTTTGCCATTTTTCAATAGCATCAGAAAGGGCCTTTCGAGTGATTGCATAGTGTCCTTTGAGCTCATGGAGGGCCCACTTGATGTCTTGATTGCTGAGCATCTTGAATTCAGCCATCAAGAGGTCAGCAGCTTGGAGGAAGCATGGCTTGTCAAGTGGAGTCAGTTTGGAATAGTCAAAAAAGTCTACTTTAGGTACCTTCACATCACCCTGAGTGGCAAGCAGGCTGCTACTGGGTTGGGTAATAACTAGGTCTTTTATCTTTGGATACTGTTGGTTTTCCCTAAGAAAATTACGAAGTACATTCCAATCATGGCAATTCTTCAAATGAATGATGTCTTTAACGTATGCATTTGCTACATCTGTTCCTTCCAGTAATAATGTAACAAGTTCATGATCTATTTCACCAGCTTCTTGTCCCCACGTGCTTTTCAAATTGTCCTCCTGGGTTCCTGGCAGGGGGAAAGCTGGTGCAGGGTCTTCATCAAGTATTAAGTGCTGATCTTCAAGTTCTCCCAGAGGATGGGCTGGCTGAGGAGAAGCAGGACTGGGAATCCCTTCTTGCTGTGGCTGTGGCTTTGGGACATCATGGCACAAGACCATTTTGCCCATTTCTGCTTCAGAATGAGTCTCTTGGGGTATAACTTGATTTGTTCTTTCCTGAGGCTGTGGCTTTAGATCCTGGAAGGATGTGTGGTCAAGCAAGTTGTCTCCTTCACTTACCTGGTCATCAACTGAAGTAGCTGTCTCTCCAGGATTTGATAAGAGATTTGTCTCTGATTCTTCAGGCAATTGGTTCTCAACTTCCAGAGACTCACTTTCTGGGAAAAGAAGGATATTTTCTCCCAATCTAACATCTTTCTGATCCAATTTGGGGTTGACTGTGTTGTTTGCTGTCTGCTTAATGCTTGGTCCAGGTATGGCTTCTTTTTTGCCACTATCAATATTCAGAAATCCATGATATTCATCCTCACAAGCATCCTGTGCCCCAGAACCAAGCAATGATTTGTTACAATAGTAGTAACAGCTGTTGGGATCTGCTTCACAGTTTCCACTAGACTTTCTGGTCCTTTCTTCTCCCCATCTGTCCATATCTTGCCTCTGGACCGCTGGTTTGATGATATTGGATCGGTATGTGTGAGGTTGATGGTTTTCAGTCAGTTTGACATCATCATCCACGTAGTCATCTTCATGTTGCTCAGCAGCATGAGACAGCAGGACTGGAATCCCTTCTTCATCAGAGGAGTCAGATATGGTGATGGGACCATCTCTGACACTCATGCATTCCTTTCTCCCATGGCAGTGAACATTCTTCAAGTGAATGACCTCTTCTTTGTTGTTTCCCTCAGACATTTTCAAATTCCTACATAGATATAGATGATTGTTAGTATCCAAACATGGTCATCATTTGTTCAACAGGATCTCAATTTCAGGCTGAAAGGGTTGAAACATGCCCAAACATGTCACCGGGCCTCAAACTTCTGCCTCTCCACATCTTTGCTGGAGAATGAATGCCTCCCTCCAAATCAGACTAAATAATCTTAATCAATAAAAACCTCCAGTTGCTTACTTCTCTCTCATTCCTTAGTTCAAAAGGGACTGGTCCTATCTCTACCTACACAGTCACTAACAAAGATCCCCACTGTTGTTGAAGCTCAACTCCAAGCAAATGCCTTAAATTTATATCCACCTAGAACCTACACTGCTTCTCTTCTTTTTATCCTCAAACATCAAGCAGACCCCCACCATGTAGACTCACTCACTCTGCAGCCCTACCCTATGGAACCCTAGCCCAGAACATGATGTCTTTCCTTATTGAGAAGATATATGCAATGATGACTTGGTTTGAGGCAGGAAAACAGAGGCTTGAAGCCACCCTTTTGGGTCTTCAGACCACATAGAACTCCTGCACCAAACATATATGTCTTTCAATGGTCAGGGATCTTCTCATGAAATGGTACTCTAAAAGCTTGTTGGACAGTGGTTCTCTTTCCTTCCCAGTTCCATCAACCCATAATGTATTCATTCATTCTCTTTCTTACTTACTTTATTTGAGACAGGGTACCTCCATAGAGCCTTGTGTGAATCTAAGTATAGAAACCAGCCAGGCTCACAACTCAGTGAGTTCTGCCCACAGTCTGACTCCCGTGTGTTGGGATGGGAAGTGTGGTACATATATGCAGCATGGTTACCCATTCTTGATGGGGAAGGGCCTTCTCTGTCTTAATAATCATTCATATCTTCCATGTTACCAACACTCTCCCCTATCTATCTGGGCTATCTGGAGCATCCCCTTGGTCCCTGAGGTACTGGGAAATACCACCAGTACCTAGATTCAAAAATCATTCCTATACAAAGGTGGCCACTGGTCCTCAATTTGTAGGAGACAGTGCACCATCACATATTAGCTGGACACACATGTTCGAGAGACTGTATAGCACTCTTACCAACTCTGCCCCAATCCCTGAACTTGTCTGGTCCTTGGTGCTCACATTGAAGGGATAAATTTGCACACAGCTCCTAAAGTTACACCTGAACCAATTCCTGTCTAGAAGACAAATACTCCAGATTGATGCCCTACTCAATTCCTCCCCTATGACTCTCTTTCTGCCTCTCCTCATACACACATGATGCAGGGCACGAACTACCCTTGATGACCACAGGTTGCTGCACTTTTCCTGGATCCATTGTCTACTGGACTTCTACTCTAAGGACATGGGCATAAATAGCTCCACCAAACAGGAGACTCAAAGCTCCTCCCATTCTTTGTCTCCTCTCAAATTGCAGAACCCCAAATCTTTTAACCTGACACATCATTTGGTGCCACTCCGGCTTCTGCCCCACCCTAGAGAGGTCTAATCTCGTTGATTTAATTATTCTAGTTTTCTTGGTTTTTCAAGGGAGTGTTTTCCGATATAGCTTTGAAGACTGGCCTAGCACTCATTAAGTAGACCATGGTAAACTCAATCTCAGGGAGATCCCCTGCCTTTGCCTCACAAATGCTGGGATAAAAGCAGGCAGCATCACTGCCCAGCTGATTTCATTATTCTCAGTCGGTAAAACTGTGTATGTTGATCAGGTTGGCATTACAACTCACAGAGGTTAACTTGTCTCAGTTTGCTGATACCTGGCATTAAAAGCCTAGATCATCTGATCCTCCAAGAATTAATCATTCTTTATATAAAAATTACTAATTGACAGGTTTATGTGAAAATGAATACCAAGAGAAAAATTGTCCTTGCCCTCTTGAATCTCTGTGGTGATATCTTCATTACACAAATAAAGCCTGTCTGTCTGTGCAAGCCTCCAGACCTCTGTGGTTATCTATTGACTAGCTCCACTCTCATACTCAAGGTATTGTATATACGTAGCTCCTTTAAGGATGTAGCCACTTTAGGTATGTTTTCAACGTCAAACATATGTATTAATAAGAAGTATCATCCTCAAACACTTCAAGGCTCTACAGAATATGGCATTTAACATGTTTTAATAACATAAGTTATTTTTTATGAAAACGGGACAAGTCCGCCCTGGCTGCACCCATCTACTTCAGCGAAGCTTAGGCCATCAAAGAAACTCCACATGGAGTTTAAGTTCTTTGTGGTAAAGGTAAGCCACTGGGCAAGAAAGTGCCCTTGCCTTAACTGCTGACATTTTGCTGTCCAAATTGGTCAAACATGACACTAAAAGGGGTGACTGCAAACCTTGCCAACACAAGGCAGCCCATTCCTTCAGGTTATCTTGGTTTACAGAAATATAAGTCAGATGTTTTAGGCCTACAGGCCAAAGATGGATGCCCTCAATTTGTACAGCAATCTTGTGTTAAAGTCCAGGCAGCCAGCTGTTTCTGTCATTTCTCATGTTTTTTTTAAATCACTTGCTTGTACTTCCTGTCTACTCAGTATTTTTTCCTTCTTGGGTCTGAGGGAGTGGAACTTAATAGTATAGTTGCACATTTCCCTGTTTACCAGAATCATTAAAGAAACTCACTACAGATGTATTAAGTACTGTGGGTTTAAAAGCTATTAAAAGACAATTTTATATGCTAAATAGGATAGAATGTGAATTAGGAACATGAATTTGGACTCATCAAGAAAATATAGATAATAGAGTATTTTCCCAGAATTTCTCATATGCTTACATATTAGACATTATTAATTTACTTATTGCAATGTGTGTATTATGTATAGTTATTGCACTTATTGTACATAGTTTTTCTCATAGTAGTTATAACTTTTTAAATTTTAGACAAAAAAGGGTAGTATGTGGTGATATCTTTCTTGCACAAATAAATCCTGTCTCAGGGTCAGAAACTGAATGTTGAAACTAGGTAAACATAGAGGTCTGGAGGTCTGTACAGACACGAAGGGAGATAGCTGGACAGAAACAGGAATTAAGCAGGGAGAAACAGGAAATCCCACTCTCTTCTCTGTTGAGGTGCTTAGGAGGTAAGGTGTGTAGTGACTTGCTCGTCTCTCTGATCTCTCATGATTTCCCACTATGTCTGACTCCTGATTTTATTATCTATACCAATTAAGAACTCGTTTTACAAATCTCTATTCCTGAATAAATTGGTGTTCCACCTATAACAGCATCATATCAAAAAAAAGGACTCATACATACTGTGAGAGTGCCTTTTCTACCCCCTTTAGATGCTACTGAGTATCTCATGATGACATTCTGTCCTAATCTGATATATACTCTGCTTGATTTCTGGGCATTATCTCCTACTTCTTGACAACTTGAAAGACAATAGTCCTAAATCTGCTCTTGTTATAAACCTGAGACAGGAGAACAATTCTGTTCTACAAGATCTATCTATTGATAGATAGCTTTTTCAAAATTCCCTTTTTGTTAGTTTTGTATATCCTAAACTGAACTTTGACTTGCTCGATAGCTGACGATGACCTTGAATTTTTCCAATTGAACTGTAAGAAAAAGAACCCCTAAAAGAGTGTGGTGACACACACCTTTAATCCCAGCACTAGGGAGGCAGAAGCAGTCGGATCTCTGTGAGAAATGTAAAAACAAGAACCACTAACAGGGTGTGGTGACACACACCTTTAATCCCAGCACTAGGGAGGCAGAAGCAGGCAGATCTGTGAGAAATGTAAAAACAAGAACCACTAACAGGGTGTGGTGACACACACCTTTAATCCCAGCACTAGGGAGGCAGAAGCAATCAGATCTCTGTGAGAAACGTAAAAACAAGAACCACTAACAGGGTGTGGTGACACATACCTTTAATCCCAGCACTAGGGAGGCAGAAGCAGGCAGATCTGTGAGAAATGTAAAAACCAGAACCACTAACAGGGTGTGGTGACACATACCTTTAATTCCAGCACTAGGGAGGCTGAAGCAGGCAGATTCCTGAAAGTTCTGAGGACTGCCTGTTTTTCAAAGAGAGTCCTAGGACAGTCTCCAAAATAACAGAGAAACCGATTCTGGGGGGAAAAAAACAAAACAAAAACAAAGGCTACAATAAAATAAAAAAATTAAAGTGGCTTAGTGTGGTGGTACATGACTTCAATCCCAGCACTCTGGATGCAGAGTCAGCGGGAAATCTGTGAGGTCCCGCACATCCTGATATACACAGAGATCCAGGACAGCCACGACTGTATAAATTGACCATCCTCAAAAAGTAAACAAATGAATAAGAAACCTTTCTATATCTATAGCCACCAGATCAATACAAATTAAAAATACTTTAAGATTTTTAATTGCCAGGCGTTGGTGGCACACGCCGTTAATCCCAGCACTCGGGAGGCAGACGCCAGCCTGGTCTACAGAATGAGTTCCAGGACAGCCTCCAAAACAATACAGAGAAACCCTGTCTCAAAAAAAAATTTTTAACTTACTCAGAAATGCTGAAAAACTAACACCAACAGTCATGCTCCTGAAGATATTGCAACAGGAGATCACTTTCACATTGATTTGGGAGTACAAAATAATGCAGTCATCCCTCCCCTGCAATCCACGCAGAAGCCTTACAGGCCAACTTACCCTGGCTATCAGCAGGCTCTCCTGACTTCACCAGATCGCCGCTGTTGTTTGAAGCTCCAGTCCAAGAACCTGGTCTAAATATTTCTTCCTTCCAGGCCCCTCCCCGTTCCTCCACCTTTTCCCCATCATTCCAACAGACCCGCCCACTAAATGGCCCCTCCCAGTCTACAGCTTCACCCTATAGGGACTTGGTATATTTGAGGATGTCTTTCATCATCTGGACCTTGAGCACTAACACATCCTTTGCCCGGCCCTCTTGGTTCTCCAATCTTGAGTCTTGATCCCAGTTGAAATGAGGACTTCCATACTAGGTTGCCGTCTCACTTAGTAATAGGGTCTCAAGTCAGGTC